TTTGCCGTCAGCGGGCCAACAGTGGACCCCTATCCTCCTGCTATCTGGGAAAGGACAACAATACACAAGCTTTAAAATATATCTTAACTGAATATCTACTACAAGAAGTTATAAGCACTAAACGGCAGTGTTTTAAGCTCTAAATGTCTATATACAGCTGCTATAGTAGCCCTGTTGGCATGGTGCTAACATAATATTGTGAATCCCATAAGGTGAAATCAGCAATATGAACATTGCTACATCCATGCTAACAGCAAGTGACCACTCCTGTGCACTGCAAAGACACTGCATGAAATAGAGTCTACTATTAAACTATATATTACATATGACATGTTAACACCAGCCACTCCTAATGTTCTCTACTACTGGCAGAGCAACTGAACTACCACACTCGACAAACCTCGCTGGGTATTTTTTGAGTGCTTGCCTGTTTTATGATGTCCTTTCCTTTCCTTTTCAGTGCTCACTCGCATGTAGCAAAATTGTATTAGCTCCTTAATGACCTTGTAATTCACTGGATATCAATGACACGTAAATATGCATCGAGTTTGGAATAATTTTGGATCATTTTGTTCACCACAGGGAGTGATAGCAGCTGTTTTCGAAAATCCCATTATTTTTAGCAAAGGGAAAACCAGCTTAGATCTGGAGTTTCTAATACGGGAATGACGGCAACTACAGAATGACAAAACGACTTTTAGTTATACGTTACAATGCATTTGACACAGAATCACAGATTGGATATACAGCTTGGTCTTGATGTAAATCAGCCCCATCCTTAGCCAGTTCCTGTTTTTTTTTTAATGAACTTTTGGTGGCGCTGTTCTGTCACGTCCACAGAAATCCATAATAATCAGCTTCTAATCATTTAACAACTGCAAGCTCAACAATGTGGATGCCATAAACCAAACCTTATTTTCATGCCTTTTTTCTTTTAAAGTTTTACAAACGTGTTTTTGTGATGTTTAAATTCGGTTTTAATTACCACGATTTTTGATAGCAAGAAAGCTGCAGCTGTCCGTTTAATCTCCTGCAGAAAGAGGCAACTAACTCAAAGTATATGATGGTTTAGGTGTATAGTTTGGTTAGTCCTAATTGGACTTAAGCTTCCTTTAAATGTTAGCTACACTAGCCTTAGAGAAAGTTCGCTTTTTTGCTGAATGGTCGCTTTAATACCCACATTATCTTCATCCCGGACACATGTAGCACTGCCTTTAGGGCAGAGTGGACCAACATTTTTACCCTGTGTCGAGAATCCCAGCCATCTTTGAGCTCTTCTACCATCTCAGCTTCATCTGCAGATGAGATTATGTGCATCTGTGTACACAGTGTGTATCTGGATGGTGCTGACCTCAGAACGTGGGATGATCCTGCAGGGCTGAAAAACAGTCAGAAGACATGGTGTGCGCCACATGCTGCTGTACTAATCCCCTTGGCATACGCGGTAGTTTGGCTTTAAGTCCTTTGCTGAAACAGAAGTGTCCAGTGAAAATTTGACCTGGACCAGCTATGAAACCTGCAAATAAACAGGGTTCACTCCAAAGAACCGTTGGCACCTTGACTTTAAAGTGTTCTCTGGAGTGATGCCATAGAAGGACCACTTTTGGTTCCTTTGGTTCCATTCAAACTATACCGTCGAAAACTGAGCATAGCATTTTTTGCTAAATGTTTCACATACTGCTTCACAATTCCATTGGTCATTATTCTTCAACTACTGTCCATATCCACAAAACACATAGAGAAGCATATCACTGCTGTCGGAACAAAACCTCATCTCCAATATGATAACTTTACAGGAGAAGGGAAAAACCTACGTGACTTTTAATGTAAGTCAATGGAACCAGACTTCTTTCCAAGTCATTTCGGACCATTGTTTTTGGTCCATTCTTCTGAAATTTACACACAATGTAAAGGGCAACAGGCATTTTCAAATTCCATCAAAAACTGAAAAATGTTTTTTCCGAGAGCAGTGATATTGTGATGCAGTTTATCACGATAACGCTAAATCATCATCATATTGCCCACCCTTATTTAGGGGGCAGCGGTGAGTGTTGATGGTATTTTCTGTGTTGGGAGCTATGAAGTAAGGAATCCAATTTGGCCACTTTAAGCTACAAAAAACACAATTAAATTGTTAATCAAAATTATTTAGATGGCAATGAATTGTCAGCTAAAATGTCATGATCATGGTATTAAGGAGGGTCTCAGAGCTAGCGATGATAGATTGTTGGTTAATATTATTTTTCCCTGCCCACTGGTGCACAGTGGTGTAATAAAAAAAAACAGAAGATGTTTTAGAGGCGGGCAAAAGTCTTGCATTTTTATTGAAAATTATGAAAAACAAGAATTTTGTTATTTGTTTGTTACTTTTATAATGACATAATATGATCAATTGTGCCTAATGTGATGAGGACCGTGAACTAAAAAGGTCTAAAATTTCAATTTGGAGTTCAGGTTGACTTTAATCCAGATTGAAAGCTTCTGCATCAAAGACGTTGTCTCATAGAGGTTTGATCACATCAGACACCTTTCAAACTCAGATCTCTAAAACTAGTACATGCTAATAAAAGAGAAAGTTTGATTTTTAAGCAGAATTTTACATCATTAGCAACATCTACTTCAAAAGAGGGGGCTGAGGCCAAAACTAGAAGCACATTATGTGTCCAAAAGCCAACATTTCTTCTGAAATCAAGGATGTTAATAGGAACTTTGTCCTCCCTTTGCTGCAGTAACAGCCTCTAGTCTTTACACTAGATGTGGGAACATTGCTGTGAGGATTTGATTGCAGCCACAAGGGCATTAGTGAGGTCAGGTACTGATGTTGGATGATCGGTTCTGGATCACAAACGCCACTTCAGCTCATCCCAAAGGTATTGGATGGAGCTCCATCACCCCAGAGAACGCAGTTCCACTGCTCCACAGCCCAGTGGAGGCTCTAGCTGATACTTACGAATGGGCATGATAACCTCATGCTCATGTGCAGCAGATCCAGAGCGTCTCATTTTATTGCCGATGCTTTTCTATGGAGATTATAAGTGCTGTATGTGTAAATGACAGTGCACCTTAAAATAGAGGAATTCAGTAGTTAGAATGTCTGGATACTTTTGGACAGCGTAGGTCTGAAAAAGGCTAGTCGAGGCGTTCAGCGTGGCCCTGATCAAGGGTAGGTGACATGTTGGTTACGACACTGACTTGCATGCTCTCGCTGTTTTCACTAGCCAGGAATGCTGGACGACAGGATTCTTTCAGTGTCAGCTGCCTGAATCAGGTGGGACGGATAAGGGGCGTTGTCTCCTCTCTGTCCCACCCCCACAGGAAGGTTTACAGGTTTATTGATCGTTTCTAAGAAAGGCGAATGCTTAACTAAACAGTCTTTGGTGGATTGACCCTCCGTGGCATCCAGAGGTGGCCAGAGGAACCTGTCACTCCCAGCCCTTTCCTACATGACCTTGTAAGACCGGGGGCGATTGACATGCACCGTAGCCTCCTTCTCCCAGAAATGCCTGTCCTCTGTTTCCCTTTGTGTTCACTGGAAAACCACTCATGTGGAATGACTGGAAAAAAGAAGCAGGAATAAACTTTAGATAAGGTCGAGTGGAGCGGAAGACGTTCGCTCTTAAAATACGGTGGTCTGGAGTTGTTCTCAAGGGATGAAAAGGTTTGAAACAACATCTTGAAGCACCACCTGTGAGTCATGATGTGAATATTACAAATATAGAAGCTGTTTCTCTGCTGCAAGGTTTTATACTCTGTTCCTTGTAGATGTTATTAGACTTTAAGATGATCCATTTAGATGCTACCAAGCTTTAAAGAGTCCTTATCATCAATGTAGTTTGATGTAGTTTGTAAACGTGGTTAAAGGTACAAAACATGCCAGCTCATACATGGAAACTAGACAGCAAGACTAGACTGATGTCACTAAAACAAACATCTGCATATTCACATACAGTAGTTTAGCCCCCCACATTCAGCCTACAGCAGTTTAGCCCCGCCCATTTAGCCTACAGCAGTTTAGCCCCGCCCATTAAGCCCACAACAGTTTAGCCCCCCATTCAGCCTACAACAGTTTAGCCCCCCACATTCAGTCTACAGCAGTTTAGCCCCGCCCATTCAGCCTACAGCAGTTAAGCCTTGTCCATTCAGCCTATAGCAGTTCAGCCCCGCCCATTCAGCCAACAGCAGAGCATCCCCACTCTTTCATCTTGCAGCAGTTTAGCCCCGCCCATTTACGCTGAAAGTTAGATTTAGACTGCTTTTTGAATGAGGTATAATACAGCCAATCAGAGCAGAGGTCATTTACATAAAAATCTTAAAGTGACAATATCAGAAGAAGCCTGCTCAGGGATAAAGGCAGGTTAGAAAATGGTCATAAAAAATGTATTATTACTGTTTTTGGTACGTGAATTCACGAGTTTGACATAAGTTAAAAAAGAATATTTTAAGAAAATATTTTAGAAGATACTTTAATGTCTTCTTTCAGACACTGATGAAGGACTAGAGGATGACCAACACAAACTGTGCAGCTACTGTCTCTGACTTTACATCTACAAGGTGGACTGTCAAGGTTGGAGTGTCTAATAGAGTGGACAGTGAGTGGACACAGTGTTTAAAAAGTCCAGCAGCACTGCTGTGCCTGATCCACTCGTACCAGCACAACACCCTCTAACACGCCACCACCAGGTCAGTGTCACTGCAGCGCTGAGAATGATCCACCACCCAAATAACACCTGCTCTGTGGTGGTCCTGTGGGGGTTCCTGACCACTGAAGAGCATGCAGAGAAATAGATGGACGACAGTCTGTAACTGTAGAACTGCAGTGGTGAGTGGAGCTGATTAAACAGCCACTTGTTGTAGAAACACGCAGGCGGTTTTAATGTTGTGGCTGATCGGTGCCATATCGGTATGTTCCGCTGAAGCCCCGTCCAACACGTGCCGCACGTCACGACGCTACGCGACCAGTTTCATTTACATACTCGGCCCCGCCCTCCCGCCGCGTGTATGATAATCCATCCAGACTGGATTCTCTACAGAGGAGAAAACAGGGGAAGGAAGCGCTGCCGGCCAAAAAACTAATACATAAAAAAGTTTTCGCCCGAGTGAGTCGTCGAGACAGACGTTTCGAGACGTCGTCGGAGGAAGCCGGGGGTCCGCGGGCTCTGTCCCCCTCCTCATAACGAACTATGGACGCTTTAAAATCGGCTGGCCGGGCGATAATTCGGAGTCCCAGTCTGGCCAAGCAGAGCTGGACCTCTGGAAAACACAAGAGTGAGTTTCACCTCTCCAAACACGACATTTCCGTTTTTTTTTGTGCTCGTCTTTCTGTGGGCACCGTTAGTAACTATGGTAACTGTGCAAGTTTGCTGTCAGCGGCAGCGGCAGCTTTCTATTCTCCCCTCAGAGTAAACGTTAAACATTAAACTTGGGCCACTTCAGTTCTGTGTGAAGTTTACAGTTTACAGTCAAGTTAACGTTCACATAGTGGCGTTGAGTGGCAGCTACCGGTGCTACTGTCGGGCAAAACTCAGAGCAGAGCACGCCCAGCTCAGCCCTTTCAGGCTTAGCTTTATTTTTAATGTTTTATTTTACAGTTCATGGACTGCCTGATTGAGCACCACAAGCTGAAGATAGCTTCTTATTCCACTTTTCCGTTCCACCTTAAACGGTGCAGCAGTTACACTCGGGCGCCTCGCCATTTAAGGTGGAACCGCAATCTGAGTAAGAAAGAAACTGACTTCAGTGCTAACTTCAGAGGCACAAGCTTGTCGAGTTTGCTTAGTTTCGTGAATAATGACAGTAACTCTCACTTTGGTGTCATATTAGCTAAGTTAAATGAAAGTAAAGTGCCCACAGAAGAAGAAACACTCTAGGGTAGTTAGCTTTCTAGCTAGCACGTTGAACCGTATAGCTATATTGGCTTTATTTGGGTAGTAAAGGTTTAGCTAACACCGCTGCTCGTCTTTAAGTCTTTAACGTTACTGTTTACTGTTCCTCCTGGTTAAGTACTGCTGATATACTCCTAAGCTGGCTTCTTGGAGCACAAACCTCTGCTGAATGAAGACTTCACTACACCCTGGGTCTCCACTGTTTACTATTCCTGTTCTTTTAGTATTGCTGCCATGCTGTTAGCTGCCTTTCTCAAGTTCAAGCCCTGTCATTTCGAACAGGCTCGTTTGGTTGCAGCCAGTCGAGCCTGAATCGCTCCTCTCTTTGTGTGGACATTCATTCTGGTCTCCAGCTCAACAAGCATGTTATCTGAATCTGTTAAGTTATAGATCCTGTCTGCGTCTCACAGACCAGCTTGGGGTCCCTCTGTTTTCATTCATCTCGCCACGTCACCGTCAAGGTTGCTCCTCATCCTCTTGGGGCTTCCTCAAGAAATCATGTTGGAGAGCCTGGGTGTTGCCTTCAGCCCTATGGGTGGTGCTTTGGAAGACCACGTGCAATCAGGACTGAAGCCTGTGCTGGACATTTCAGATCTTCCCAAATCCATAATTGTAGCAGACATCACTTCTTGGCAATGCAGTGTTGCTAGGCAATGCTTTTTTGGCCTTCATGGTAGGACAGTTAATTGCATGCAGGATAAGATTACATGTCGAAGCTTGCTTGCATCTTCTTGTTCACCTTCATCCAGAAAAGCTTGGATGGTATCATTCTTCGTATTTGGCATTTCCATATGAAGGAGGGGTCCCGGGGACCGTAAAACATGCCTTGTGCTCACAGCCATCGAGTGTAAACGCAGTAATGTGTAACTACTAAGTCAATACCGCAGCGGTGGCCGGCTTGAAAAGCGCTGCTTCTGCTGCCCTGTAGGATTCAGCTAAAGCGTTTGATCTCCAGCTCTGTGTGTGAGCGCTCCAGACAGCGATGCGTGGCCAGTCAGCTGGTTGGCTTGGTTTAGTCACACTACAGCAGTGTGGCTTTCACAAAAAGAAGATTAGCTGCCTGGTGACCCTTTTGTTTGACTTGGTTTGACAAATGCCTCCGCCCCTTTTTTCCCCTACCCACTGATTGAAAGCTGTGGTGCCTGGGCAGATGCTTGTGGCCACGCGTGCCACTTTTGGGTGCCATCGGCTGTTTTGTTTACTATCGCTTGCTTTTGGCTCGGGGAGGACAGCAGTCTTTTCAGAGGACGGCTGCTTGTTCCAGTGCTCTTTTAGAATTGGTGGAGGAATGTATGGAGAGAGGCCAATGCCTGAGGCTTGTGCCAGCCTCAGAAACTATACAAATGGGTTGTGGGTGTGGTCTCTGGAAGTGGGCACCACCCGTCTGTCAGGTCAAGTGTTGGCTAAACTGCAGTCAGGAAACCCTGGAGATTGTATTGCTTATATTGCTTCTTTTTTTTTACAATGCTTGTGGTACTGCATGTCATGGTGGTAAGGCACCCAAACATTAGGTGTTGGAAATGGAAAAACCCTAGCTGCATCACGGGTGACCTAGTAGCATAAAAAAAAGATCACGTCTGAAAGTCTGACATAATTTCACTGAAAGTCAAGCTTTTATTGTGCATTTTACCATTTCTATATGTTACTTTTGTCAGACAGAAACAGAAAAAAAACATGCATAGATCTCAGTCTCTTTTTTCCTTCACAGCGGTTAACCAAATGCCCTGCCTTAACTCCTACAGACCCTTAAATACCAAATTTATTTAGCATGCACATTACTCCTAGACACCCTTTAACAGCCTAATTTTAGGAGAGCCAATATTGCAACACTGATGGGCACAATGCATGGGTCTCCAGCTGCAGTTTCAGCACACATCAAACAGTTTAGTGTGTTCCTTGCTCCACAGTACTTGTTTCAACTCATCAGCTAATTATCTGAGTCTTTACTAGCTGAGTCAGCCATATTAGAGCAGGCAGAACATTACACTGTGCAGTCTTGCAACGCTGGACTATTTAGTTGGAGAAGCTTGGTACAGCTTGGTGTACAAGGCTGAACAAGCATGCCTTTTGTATGTGGGTGGATGGGAAGGTGATGCCTAAGCAGGCCTATCGCTATTAGTTGTGTTGGTTATGGGTTGTAAATAGAATTGATTCTTAGATGCATCTTAAAAGATTCTGAATCAGTTCACAAAATGTCATAGTCAGATTTTTTATATAGGGTCTGTGTTTCTCCTACTGTAAAACAAACTCACGTGGGATGGCACAGCCTGGCTTGGTGGAGGAAAGAAAATACACTAATGCAGGGGTGTCCAGTCTTATTCACACAGGGCCAGTGTGGCTGCAGGTTTTCACTCCAGGCAAGCTGGAGCACACCTGATGCCACTTGTTTAATCAGCTGGTCTCAGTCTTTAGACTGCTGATCAGGTGATCTGTTGCTTTGTTGGAAAGAAAACCTACAGCCACATCAGTCCTTTGCGGATAAGATTGCACACTCGTGCACTAATGCATGCATGCTTGCAGTCACAAATTGGTCACAGATTTTGTGCATATTTATATGTAGTAAAGGGCCCAAAAGCTTTGTAAACATACCCTACATAGAAAAGCAGCATTGACAGTCAGCTGAGGAGATGCTAATCCAATAAAACTAGAGTTAGAGTTTGAGCAGAAATGTTTAAAAAGTAAAGCTGCATCATACAAAGTAAAAAATGTGCTGAGGGTTTACCAAAGTGTGACACACCATCTGAGGAAAATCAGCGTTCTCCATAAAGTTTAAGTGTCTCGATGGTTCAGGTGTTGTAAGATTATTGCATTTTTTGTGTGTTTCACGAATGTACGTGTTTTTAAAATGAAAATGTTGGGGGGCTCCTGAGTGGCGCAACCGTCTAAGCATTTGCCCTGTCATCAGGAGATGGTGAATTCTATCCCTGGTGATGCTACAGCTGTCCGTGGACGGGAATCCAAGAGAGCACAGTTGGCCTCGCTCTCTCTGGGTGGGTAGAATGGCCCCGTCGTCTCCCCCTCCATCACTCAGCGTGATGCTGGCCAGCACAGGCGTCTGTTAGCTGACGTAACAGATCTGGCGGTTGGTGCTTCCCTCAGAGCATGCTCTGCTGTCCAGTGACGTTGCTTTAGTGGTAGTACAAAAAGATGCGGTGACTGGCTTCACAGGTCTCGGAGGAAACCTGTGCTAGCTTTTGCCCTCCTAGCACTGGAGGTATCGCGTGACTGGGGGAGTCCTAACTAGTGGGTGGAATTGGATATTGGAAATTGGGGAGAAAATTGGGAAAAAATCAAAAACAAAAAAAGAAAATGTTGTTACTCAGTATTAAATTTTTAAATATATGATCGTCATTAAGGATTTTCAATAAATCAGTCAGTGTGTAAATATAAAACGTGTCTATAACCTACAGTATAATATAAAAAAATCATAATGTATAGAAATATAGAAAAAAAAGTGGATTCATTTTATAATCGCATCTTGGCACACTGAAACAAAATAAACTTTGAGTCGTGAGGTGCTTCGGTGTTCCCATCTTTAATATTAGTAATTGTGTAATTTAAAGATTATTTTGAGCTATTCTGGTCAGGCAGTAAGAATGAGCTTAAGTGATCAATAACAAAGCATTCATAGCCTTTCAAAGATCCCAAAATGCTTTATTGGAAAAATGAAGCCTTTTAGAAAAGGACCACGGAATGCCTGATTAAACTGGAATTGTATTGGTATCTGCAGGTAGTTCCTTTAAAAAAAACATCAGGGTCAGGTTTTTTGTACTCTGGTAGAGAAAGTTTGGGCGAGAATGGGCTGCTGCGCCATATATCTGCATTTTATTAATTTTACTGCATTTGTAACCCTATAGAAGTATGTTCTATTTCTCTGTAATGCTATTCTAAGTAGTTTTAGTCCCAATTCCTATATCTTATGTCGGAATTGGCAGATATATGTACCACAATTTCCTAAATGCATCGCTTAAAAATACAAAAAATTTTATGTGGCAAAATGCATTTAAATAGGTGTTTCTCTCAGGCTCTGATTTTGTTTTGAGGTGTGGAGTAGATTTTAAAATATGCAATCATCATGCGAATTGCCAACTAATCATTACAGATTTATAGAGAAGGTAATAACATGTCTATGTTTTTGTCATGTTATCAGGTTTAGAGACAAAATCATGACAGGCCCAGGTGTAAGTGGGTGTAGTAAGCTGTGCTTTATGTAGTTATGTTGGTGGTTTCAGAGATCATGTTTGACTTTTTGGCCTGGTGTGTTTTTAGCACACTCTGCCCTTTTTACCTGTACTTGCTCCCTCATTTTTCCCCTAAATGATTTCCTCTGTGTGAATCGATGTCCCATTGCTATATGAGCTTGATCATGTGCTGGTGAAATGT